CTGTCTCGCCGCGTGGACCCAGTACATCTGGCCGAGTACGTGGACAGTCTGGCTCACCGCTCATCTCCCCTGGCCGTCTCCTCGCCGATGGAGCCCATGGACGAGTCGGAGGCTCTCCTCGCACTCCCGCGACCACCCGGCCCCTTGCAGGTCGCGCAGGCGTCGCCATTAGACTTGGGCGTGTTACCCGCGGGCGTGTTGCTTAAGAGTGTCTTCCAGGAAGGATCGGAACTTCCGCTACATAACAACCTGTTCCCGTTATCGTCGATGCAGACGGCAAAAGTTGACAACCGCTTCACGTCGCAATTGCCTCCCGTCGCCAGCTTACCCGCGACGACGATGGCAGCGTTGAGGACAGATGCCAATTTGTTAGTCTCTGGGCTACCGACCTTGAACGGTGCGAGGGTGCCCACGGAGAGTGAGGTGTCCTTGGGCACAATGCAAGAGACGCTAGCTGGCGGGCAGGGATATCATAGCAGGGACATTCTTCATGAGTGAGACGTTGAGGATGCAAGTTTTTGTTTATTTGTTTAGAAGTTGTTGTTTTTTTATTATTGTGGCGTTGGAGGTCTAGTGGTTAGGCTCTCGGACTCCCAACCGCAAGGTGGTGGGTTCGAATCCCATCCGGGGCCCAGCGTTGTGTCCTTGGGAAAGGTGCTTTACACTAATTTTCCTCACCTCACCCAGGTGGGAATGGGTACCGGCCATAGACAGCAAAAGATCTTGTCAGTTGGTCAGTGTTTTAGCCTGTGTAATCCTTAGCTTGCACTGTATTCTTCCTTGGAAGCGGAGAATGTTTCGGAGTTCTACTGTCAGCTGGGGTAAGGACAGTTGTCTCAGTTGTCCAGCCCATACTACGTGCCTTGGAGCGTGGATATAATAGGCTGTTTGAATACACTAAAGTAGAACACAGGTAACTCGAATTCCTCAGGACCGGCCTGGGTAGTTCGGGGGATCCGTAGTTTGAAGGATATCGTACAAAGAACAAGAACAAAAGCAAGAGAAGAAAAAACAAAAGAGGGCAGTAGGCACAGGTCGCCGGATGTTCCAGTAGACGTCGCCGGTCTGCTGGGACTTGAACTTTATCGTTTCTCACGTCCATCAGGGAAAAATGGTTCATATATTAGGTAGAGTGGTTTATTTTTGTATGTAATCTCGTCTCTTTTGTCTTGTGTGCAAACTGCGGGCTAGGCTGAATCAGCCGCTGCATTCCTCAGACCCGTGTGTCATCTTATATAATGTGTTATCCCCGGGGCAGTGCCACTGACTGAAGTGTCTTTAGGCCATTCTCAGAGGGGGGATAGTAACATGTTCTTTTGCACAGTAGAATTGTAAATGGGCTGATCCAACAATGTCATGCTCATACTGTTCTGAAACTACAACAGGGAACTGCTGCTTTTTCTTTCCTCTTCCTTTCTATCGTCTTTTTTCCTCTACTTCTTCTGTATGTTTGTCACTCTCTTGTGACCCGCTCTTTGCGGGGTGCCTTGATAGTCGAAGCAGACTTTGTGCTGTTGAAGCTAGAGAGGTGAGCAGAGTAAGTCTGATTCCCTGTATGGACTTCTCTGTTGACGTCCACCCCTTGGCGCTCCTATTAGTCGTATGACCTTATACAGTTGCAAGTGCCGTAAAACGTCTACTAAAACTAAGACCCACGTGTCATCTTATCTCACGATGTAGTCTCGCCCACAAACATCTCGTGTGGATTCTGCAGAGAGAGGAAGAATTATATGACATCTGTTAACCCTTCCAGCCCCAAGCGCATATATTTTCAGCGGAGCTTGTACCTCCCACCATCCCAAGAGCGTATATTTTCAGCGGAACTTGTACCTCCCACCATCCCAAGAGCGTATATTTTCAGCAGAGCTTGTACCTCCCACCATCCCAAGAGCGTATATTGTCAGTTTCGGGAGGTACCAATTTTGCCCATTTTTCTAAATTAGCGAACCTAATTAAACTGTAATTTTCATAATATTCGTTCATTTACCTTTGAACACTGTTCTATGTTATTACCTAAACCTCATTGCAAAGATACTGGATCATTTTTTAGAATGCATGCCAGTTTCTCTGAAATACCGCGGTATTGGCTGGGACTGGGGTAAGGAAGGGCACAAAATCTCTGGGGCTGGAAGGGTTCAGGGAATATTACTCATTATATAAAATCAATGGTGACGGCCATAAGTCTGTGATGTATATATATATAATTTTTACTTAGCCATCGCTCTGTGGGAAAGCCCATTCATGTTTTTTTTTGTCGGGATTTGTCCTAATTTTGGTAATCTACACCTTACGTTGGAGGGTCTAACGTTTTTAACACGTACGGGTAAGGCTTGCTTGGCTTGCTGTGGATCTACAGATAAGCAGGATGGTGTGTTTTTCTTTACTGTAAGTGGGGAGTGAATGTTGACTACCTTCTCTGGGAGGTTTCGGGGAAAATGTTGTATTTGGATTGATTTCTCAATGTGTTTGTTGTTTTTGTTGCAGTATTTGTGGTGTTGCTTATTTGGTATGGGGTTCTGTGATGTAATGATCAGGCTTTCTGCCACGCCGGCTTCAGACTAGAATTGGGTGCCTAGGTCCGGAAGATACTTCATCGACTGCCATCTCTACGTTTTTCTGCTCAGATGTAGGCGAGGCTAGAGAGGGGAACAGAGTAAGCCTGACTCCTCGTTTGGACTTCTCTGTTGACATCCACCCCTCGACGCTCATATGATCTTATGCAGTTGTGAGCGCCGTAAAACCTTACTAAAACTAAACTAAAAAACTAGTTACTTTATCGGCTGCCATCTACATTTTTCAGCTCAGATGTACACATCACACTCACAGCCAGGGTGTCAAAAGAGGTGCAAAAGACTTTAGATGATTTTTCCAATTCCCTGCTCCTCTCTAGATGGTGGGTTTTTTTTATTTCCCGTGTTTTGGTTCCACTGTAGAGCATGAGCATCACTGTTTGCTCCTCTCTAGATGGTGGGGTTTTTTTATTTCCCGTGTTTTGGTTCCACTGTAGAGCATGAGCATCACTGTTTGCTCCTCTCTAGATGGTGGGGTTTTTTTATTTCCCGTGTTTTGGTTCCACTGTAGAGCATGAGCATCA